GCTTGAGCCCAGGAGTTGGAGGTTGCTGTGAGCTGTGATGCCACGGCACTCTACCCAGGGGGATAGCTTGAGGCTCTGTCTCAAAAAAAAAAAAAATTATAAAAATAACTTAGTATAAAATTAAAACTAGAGACTAATCTCACTTATGAATATAGAACAAAATTCTGAACATAATACTAAAAATAGAGTCCAGCAATGTATCTAAAGGCTTAGACCAGGACACTCACTCCCCACATGCAATGATTTACTTTCAGGAAAGCAGTCAGCATTTTTTAGATACCAACAAACTAAAAGAAAAAAATGTAGAATATCTTCAATAAATGCTGAAAAGGCATTTAATTAAATATAGAAGGCATTCTTAATAAAAATCCTAAATTAGGAATACAGGGAAATTCTTTAATTATAATAAAGACTATCTCCCCAAAACCAATAGTATGTCTTTGCCTAAATGACAAAATCTGAAAATTAATACCAGAAATTAGACCACAATGTCCACAAAAGACACCAAATTCTTTCACCAAAAGAAAGCTTGAATAAACCAACTTCCTTCACCCTGGGCTGGAACTAAGGAAACCAGTACTTACAAAACTGCTCCTGGAAAAGTCAACTAGCGCTGCCTTTAAGGTGAGTAATTTGGAAATGTGAACCAAAAGCCCCGAAGAATGATATTTGATGCAGCAATTTGACCTCGCAGAATTTATCCCGAGGCCAAAATCACAGATGTGAACAAAGATTTAGCTACAACATGATATGTTACTGCATTACATTTGCAAAACGTTAAAAATAAAATCCTAATATTGTTTCTAAGCATCCAACCCTAAGGATTTGTAAAACAAACTGCTAAGACTTCTTAAAGGTGTGTTTGTGAACGTGGCTCATTCCATGAAGGCCCTCCCCAGCAACCAATTTTTGAACGTTTGGCATCTTCCCGAATTCTTCCCTGCACCCTCTTGCCCACCTTCCCCAGCCCAGCTTTCAGATGCCTCTCAGCCTGTCTCACTTTGCTCCCCACCACAAGTCACTTCTTCGCTGGCCTTGTCCACCCCTCTGAGCAAGATGCCCAGCCTTCTTGTACCCACCCTGACAACCAACTGGCATACACGGACATTCAGGCACATATGTACTCCTGAACCAAGCCCACGGAGCTAACAAATTTGAGGGCGTGACAGTTATCCTTGGGTACTTACAGGCTGAGCCAGGCACTAGGACACAAGAAAAAGCCAAGAAGGAATTCTTGACTTGGAGAAACAAGGCTGACAGGTGCCCATCAGTTCAATGGCCCATGGTCTGCGTTTCTGATGAAGTCACCTCTGAATACGGGGTGTCAGAGCAGCGAAGCGTGAATGACACTGACCGATGACAGCCTGTAATTTTCCATCTCTACTATAACCTAAAATGACAGGCCTGATATCAAGTAATGATTACATGGCAGCCTGGAATTCTCTAGCGTTTTCCTTCAGACTCTGTAAGATCTAGTTTCCTAATGCTGAGATTTTCTTAATGCCAGTTGTATGAATTTTTTCCTGTGGACTTTCAATGGGAGTATCATTTGACTGTTTAAAATATAAATCACAGGAAAATAACCTAATGCAACTTTACACCCACCCTGAGACTGAGAACCATAGCATGCTTTACTCCAGGCCAGCACTCCGCCTGTTCTAGGGTCTAGCATCTGCCTCCCATCCTGCCCAGAGGGTCTGGGTTTGTCCTTGGAGCCCAAGAGGCAAAACTGCTCCTAAGCTGGCCAAGCCCTTCATCTGGCTGCTGGTCTACCCCTTCTGGGCAATGGCCTAGAGCTTGAAGACTGACGAGCAAATACAGAGGGAAGGAGGACATGAGCTAGCTGGCTTGGGCCTCCATGGTTAATGGGACGCTGCCAGCCTGGCCACAGAGACTTGATGACAGGGCCTCCAGACCACTCTCTCATCCAATCGCACCTCACACACCACCCAGCTCTGTTCTGAGCTGCCAGAGTACCCTTACCCTGACACAAACACAACAGGGCATGCCTCTCTGTGCCTCCTGCTATGTCCACCAAGAGAACGTATTACCTCCAGGGAAACAAAGGTAGCCATGTCGCTACCAATTTGTACAAAGCACAGAGCCTAATTGTCTACCTTCCACAACAAGTTCCCTCCGTGAGACCAGGACCTCTACCCCAGCATTCTAATTGCAAGATGTCTAAACAACGTGAGCAGATCTCTGAGAAACATCCCTGCAGAGTGTCTACCTTCTCCACTAAACTCTCACATCTCCACTCTCAGAAAACACCCTGTGAGCAGCATCAGACAGAGACTCCTAACAAACTGGCCCGGGCACTGGGCACCAAAGAAAAATGGATTCCCTGCAAACAATTCTACCATTGAACATTTTCATGATTGAAAGCTCTCTCCCTCTTCCCCTGGGTGGCCTATACATGGAGGAGGTAGGATTCCCCCATTTGGAGAGGAAGTTGTCTCTGGGCAATCAGAGTGATGTTTCAGTTCTGGAGACTTTCCTTAGAAGCCCCAACACTATCCCTCAGGTCCTCACTCTGCTGTCACGGCAGCTGACCACAGAGGAGGGAGAGATGGGGACAGTCTCTCCCATCCCACACATCCTCTCCCGGGAAGGCTCAGTCCCTGCCTATGACCTACTCAGACATCTCCTACTTTGCTCCCACCCCCCCGTCCTGGGACTGTGGTTTATTCATCATCTATCTCCAAAGCAGTCACCACCTGAATGGACCTCACAAGGATTCCCACTCTGTGTTGTAGGTAATCACAGAAGCCAGCACTGGCCAGGGCCAGCACCTCATCCGCACACCCTTTGCAGGAGTGGACGATTTCTTCATTCCCCCAACAAACCTCATCATCAACCACATCAGGTGAGACTGGCCCAAGATGCCTCTGAGGGACTCCA